TGGCAAACAAGTAGGTAGGAGTAATTTGGCAACAAGATTGAGGGAACATGTGAGAGGATAGGGTCGAGGGGGGAAGAAATAGGTCGAGATTGAAATAATTGCTTATAAACTTAAAAAGTCTACTCACGGAAAAAGAGATCCCAAGTCTGGTCACTGTAAAATCATTTAGCGTCTCACCAAGATTCCTATACGGTTCGAGAACTTTCAAAGGAGCTAAACGGTTCCGTTTTCTTTTCGATTCCCTTCAAAATTTTTTTTTTTCATTTTATAAGGAAGCTAAGGCTACGCATGACAATCATTCTGTACCGGGAATTGATTTTGCTCAGAAATGATTCTTTTTTTATTCTGTGCCCGGGAACAATTTTTAAGCATTTGAAAGCGTTTGGTAACTGCTCAAAATTTCTATTCTTAGAATAGAAAAAGAATAGAAATGCGTTTGGTAACTACAAATTTTTTTTTTATTAATAATATTTTGAATTTTTTAATATTTCTTTCTCTTTTTTTCCTTTTTTTTCTTTTTTTTCCTTTCCTTCCTTGGCCATGGCCGATCGCCGGCGCTAACAACCGGCCACAAGCCAAGGCCGACGAGGGCGTCGCAGCCCTTGCCGCCGGCCTCGCCGGTCGCGATGGCAAGGTCGGCTTCGCCTTGGCTGGGCGAGGCTCGACCTCGCCTAGATCTAGCGAGGCCGACCTCGCCGTCGCCCAGTGGTGGCGACGGCGAGGTCGGCCTCTCCTTGGCCGGGTAAGGCTCGACCTCGCCCAGATCTGGCGAGGCCGACCTCGCCGTCGGCAGGGTGGCGACGGCCGAGGTCGACCTCGCCGAGATCTAGGCGAGGCCGGCCTCGCAGCAGATTACCCGGGCGGCGAGGGCCGCCCTCGCCGGCCCTAGCTGATGGCCGGCGGTCGATCGCCGGTAGCAAGCCGGTGGCGGACCGGGAAGAAGATGAAGAACAAATAAAAAAGGAAGAAGAAAAATCAGAAATGGAAAAACTGTTCTAGACTCAAGAAGCTACTTTTTTTTACTTCTGGATTCTGTTCCAAAACTGATTCTGGGAACAATTTTTTGCAAAATTGTGCTCGAGCACAAAAATTTTAACAAACGAATTTTTGTTCCCAAACTGATTCTGAGAACAAAAAAACAGAAATTTTCATTATTTGGTCAGTTGCCAAACGCCCCCTAAGAGTAAGGTAAGATGAAATTCTTCGCATAAAAAAAATCAATTTAAACCGGAAGGCAAGAAAGAAACGAAGGTAATATGTGCATGCCATCATTCCTCGTGCTTTTCTTTTTTAAATTACCCCTATTTTCAAGGGGAAAAGCATTAATTTGATAATATTAGAAAGATGCTTTTAGTTCAATTATTCCCGTATCTGGCGTTAATGGCATGCCCGTTCTTGGTGCTTTGGTATTTGCAATAGGAAGTTGATTAGGGGCATGCCTTAAGGAAACGAGTCACTCTCGCACGTATCTCAAGTAGAGATGCTGCCTCTATCACTGCAAAAACATAAAGTAGAGTTTGAATCATAGTCAATCCACTTCTTCCGGGCCGGGCACGAAAGGTAGAACAAAGGATGCTAAAGGCTTTCCTATTGCTCCTCTTTACACGGTAAAGTAAGCATCTTCTTATCAAATTGAATAGACTTGCCTTGTGAAATTGGAAAGCTAAATAGAGGGGCCAGGCCAAGAAAAGAAGTCATATTCAAAGGTCACATTGTTATTCACACTTTCTTCGATTATCTTTCCTCGTTCGAGCTTGGAGGAAGTTGAATCTAGCTCTACGGAGGCCTTTGCTTTTCACGACCGTTGCTGGATTTTTTTTTCGTTTAAAAAGGCTAGCAATTGTTTAGTTTAATCAACGAGGAGATTGATTCTTTCTCTTTCTCAATGCGAAAGATGTTGTGGCTAGGTAAGATAAGTATCCTTCTAAGATTGGATGCCGAGAATAAGCTCTATTAGGAAACCTTAACTTTTAAGTCCAAGGAATAAGTGGTCTTATCTGTGGTTGTCAATCTTCTCTTTCTTTAGTCCTACTCATCTTACGACATTAGCCCTTGTGGATTAAAGAATTCGCGGGACATCTGTCTCGACACGTCCACAGTAAGTAGGTTTGAGGCACTTTATCTTGCTACTTGCCTTCATCTTCCCGTTTGCCAAGCAAGTTTGTTTACTCTATGTTGTTGACAAACAAAAAAGTATTTCCCCCAAAGCGCTAGCTTTCATACGCCTAAGAACTTCTAATGTTGCTCAGTCTCCAAAGGGAGAGCTCAACCCCTTGTGGGTGAGTTTCCCGATTCCAAGCTTCCGCGCCAATGATTACCATTACCACGTTCTCAGCAAATTCCTTTCAATGTGAATTTAGATCTCGACGGTCATAGTGGAATTGGTTTATTCTTCTTACCGTATACTGTTTCTATACCAACAAGTTTTGTGCCAATTTGACCTGCGTCAGGCGATCCTGTCAAGTCTCGATTAGTCTATACCAATCGACCTCTACCCCTTGAAAAATTATCTACTACACTCTAAAGCATTCAACGATTATATTTCTTAAGTAAGTCATTTTGAAATGGATGTCTTTTCAGTTTCATTTATTTATATGTAGAACAACGTACACATTTACAAAAGTAGCTCTCCGAAAGTACTTTCCGTTGAGTTCGAGTTTGATTTTCGAATTTGAACAAGGGTAACATAGAGCTTTGACTCATCAAAAATTATTCTTTGCACTGCAGAATTCTGGACTTGGAGATCTATTCCAACATTTGAAGAAATCATGGAAATAAAATCTGTAGTATCCAAAGGGCTTCTTTTTCATTAGAGAAGATGTAAATAAAACAAGAAGTCAATGGAATAAGGTGGCTCTTCTCGTGATCTAGCTCTTCCTTTATCGTCCAAGGGAACAAGAAGAAGATGCCCGATCCCCTAATGGATTCTTGGCATTCATCTTCTATGATTTCAAGAACGAGAAAGAAAGAAGGAGAATCCGCTAAAAAACCTAGGGTGAGCATGAGCATGTGTTTGAACTTCGTGTCTTGCATGACGTTTTGGGGGCAATAAATCAATGATTAGCTTAAAGCAAGAACTGGCGTTCATGCTAAGATCCATACTTTCACCTATTTGGAGGCAAAATCCATGTGAGGAGTTGTGGGGGGAGAGTTACCCAATTATAGCATACCGCTACGTTAGCGATTTCCGGCGAAAATTGAAGGAAACACTATATTGGAATTTTTCGCAAATATTTATGATTTAACTGACAAAATTAGAAAGTTTAGAACTGAATTGAAATCCGTACAATAAGCTTAGAACTACAATTTCCCTGGAGTCATGATGTATCAAGCTCTAAGCTTTGTCTCCATATTTGTCTGTTATTAATTCCTTAGCCTTGAAAAAGGGAAAAAGGGAAAAGAAGTGAGAATTTGACTGGGTGCATGTGTTTTTGTTGGAAAATCACCGATTTGGAAAACCTTTTTATCCATAAACGATCGACTGTGCCGTTTACAAATGTCAATGAATGAAAAACATTTTCATCACCAACGAACATATATAGGCATAGATTGTTATTAATAATGAAAGCACTCTCCCTTTACTCATTTTTCGAAACAAATTATTCATTTTCCCCCAAAATTGAACGACGACAACTAATACACCTTCGAAGGTTTTATTCAACCTGGGACCCAAGCGATGTGCACATGAGTTTCCTTTCTGACTAGCCAAAAAGACAGAGCAACAAATTAAATGGAGAGAGAGAGAGAGAGTATTTGACCTAAACCAGATGAAAATTAAAATCAACCTAAACTGCTGTAGCTGCTCGTGCCTCGTCCCATTCACTTTCTCCCCCGAATATTGGAAATGAGATTCGAGAGGTGGTCCCAAACCCCACATGGATCCCAATCAACGCGAGCATCTCTTTTTTCAAGACAACGTAAAAGGGTACAATACCTCACATCACATCATGCATTGCGAAAATGACGTCCTTGTTCTTTTGCTCTTTTTCTCTCGTTGTCTTTTTCAAACAAGAAAATCTAGAAGGTGACGTCATTAATCGCTGGAATACACCCTTCACTCGTTTACATATCCATTCGCAATCTCTCCAGTTTCTTCACAAGACAACTCCATAAAACCAATTACGCTAAGCTAAAGGAGAGAAAGAGATCTATGTACATGATCAATATTCTTTTCTTAACATGTAACTATGACTTGATACCGAAATATGATCTATATCTCTTCTTAATGATGGCGACATATCGGGGTTCCTAAGACACTTCCCGAAATTCGTGAATATATTTTAGAGAATCATTTGATGACCGGAAACCGTTCGATAGCTGCAATAGTCACATTTCCTTTTCTATGCATGAGGTCCCGTGAATTGATAAGTCATGTTAATAAGATGGTGTGAAAACTACATGGTGTCTAATACGTTCATGTGTCCCACCAATCGAAAAGGGTCGACTTCCCATGATTAGAAAATGCCGCAAAATGTTGACTTAATTCTCGAGAGAAAGAGAGAGAGAGAGAGAGAGAGAAGATTTAAGATGAGACGACAAATTCTCCAACTCTGATCAAAGAATGCAACGCATGGTCATGCCCTTCTGAACTTTCATACATTAATCAACTCAACTAAGGGCCTCATGCCTGATTCAAACCGAAGCAACCGTACCTAACCCAAGAACCATATCCGTAGGTCCCCTTTGAATCCTACTTACAAGAAATAATTCCAGAAGCAATAAAAAGATGACACTTTCGAACTACAAGCAAATCTAATGGGAGACGACACCAAATTACAAACACAGAACTGGCGATTCAAGCCGCGATCCGAGACGAAAAGGAAAAACACGGGCCAAAACATTCCCGCCATTGCCCTAGATTGGGATCATTTTAGTATCGATCCGAGACGACACAAATTGTAAGTATAAAAGGAAAGGCGTTGACCGAACTTTCACAACCCAAAGCCCCATGACCCTGCCACCGGTGAAACGCTAAAAGCAAAAGTCAACACGACAAAAACAGCGCAAAGTTACAACTTGCGAAGTTGGCAAGTTGCACATGAATCGTTACCCTTCACTACTTAAAAAATTCAACACAAAAAACATGAGCACGGCGAATCCCACTTGATCCACGCGTGACACATCACGGGCCATTAATATGAATTGACTGTTCGATCTGATTTTGAGCATCTGCTCCAAGCTTAATATTATATATTACAGATGGCTTGGCAAAGTCTTTTAATCCTACTAAACACCAAAGATGACTTTGGGGCGTCCCTTAAATTATTGCGCACTCTTTACCAGTCCAGTCAGCATGCACGTGCAGAGGATTCCGGCTCTTTTCAACCGCTAATATGTTTTGACTAACTAAAGAGATAAGGAGCACAGATTGCTGGGTTGTTTTATGAACCTATTGCAATGCCATGGCCTGTAAACAGCAAGGCTTAACAGTAGATTGACCAGTCAAGCACATGATGCTCAGAACACATAGCTCCGCACATTTTTACTGCTACGTATCAACTTCTTAAAATGAGTACTGGTGGGTAAGATGCAGTTCAGAGAAATTGCCAAAAGCAAGAACAATTATACACCTAGGTCTGCACGAGTAGGAACTACAGGTACCAGAAAATTTCCATAGGGCGAATCGAAGATCCGGTAGTTTCCAGTGCTACCATCACGTTGCGCTTGCGCGACTGCAAATCTTTTGGCTTGTTCAATCTTCATATTCATACCACTAGAACTAGCCTGCAGAAAGATAGAGAAATAATAAGCCATCAAATGAAATAAAACATAAAAGTGGTCATGTATGGAGGGACTTAGCAAGGGAAATGCACATACAATCGAAATTTGAGTAGTACATTTCTCGGCTCTTTCTTCATTTGCTTGAGGCAAGGAAAGATTCCTGCAATCATGAATATCACGCTCTCATATATTATAAGCAAATAAGAAACGTAGAAAATAAAGTAAGATTGCAACAACTGACTACCAGCGGTGATTCACTAGCAACACTCCTTCTAACCGACAAGAATGATCTTACTAAAACAACAACGAGACACTGACAAGGAAGAAAGGAAAGGTCAAGACATAAGGAGATTGCAAACTTAAGACCCACGAAGAGCAACTTCCATAAGCAAGAACCAACTATCGACAACACCCCAATGCGGAGGGCTGGTATTAGATGGGCTAGGCAAGCAAATACAGTCCAAGCCCGATCATAGGCAAACTTCTTGAATAAATTGTTGGCAACTAATGACGTAATAAGAGGAATGAGGATGATATTGTTTCCTCCAATATGAACAGAACTACTCAGTACGCAAGATATGATCAAGATCAGAATATGATATTGCCTGATAAAGAATACATAGAATGAGATGTGCCATGAAGTAGGACAAAATTCATACAGAGACTTCTAAAGTTTTGCTTTCAGGACCATTCATTGTGGACATAGGTAAACCACACAGAGCATTGTGAGTGCTTAATCTTAACCAAAAAAATAAATAAATAAACCTCCAAGTAATTCTATCCCATAAGCCCACAACAATTGGTTGGGGTTAAAAATTTCATTAAGAAATCATATTTCCCGGAACAGAATAAATCTAAAGAAGAGAATGCAAACCCTCCTGGACTTTGAAATGGAAAGTAACGTAACTTCTCCAAAATGTTGAACAGGACATCAGCTTTTTCAGAACGTAAATTTGCCAGTTCTAAGGAACACGTACTGCTTTCTGAACAAGCTATACATACTGTACTACAAGCTGTAAAAATCGAATTGTTGTGATCCTCGAAATCTGTTCCAATCTCTGCTCCTATTTTCTGGCTATTTTCTAGCAGTCTAAGGCCCTATTTTTTTTTTTTTTTTTTTGGTCGAAGTCTAAGGCCCTATTTACATGTTGGGTTTTACCTCGCAAGAGCAGGTTGCTTCCGATCAGGCTGCCCTTCCTCGCCCGAGCTCGAGTCCAGGCCCCGCTTCCCCCTGCTCAAACTGTTCGTGCGCCTCGCCTGCATCTCTTCCAAAACCGCCGCCTCTTTTCCCGAGAACAAGAAGAGGGTCACAAACTCACGACACTCTCGAACCGACAGCAACCTCCACCAACCCGTTTCACGACAAAGAAACCCTGACCGAAGATGCTTCCGGGAAGCTCACGGGCACTTGACCGTGAGTGATGTCTGAGAGGAGAGAGAGAGAGAGAGAGAGAGAATCAGGGAGAGATTTTCTCGGCGATTCTGACTCGAGGGGAAAACAGAAAGAGAAGCGAGAAAGTTAAAAGAACGCCCTTGGATTCAATATCCATGGTAACAAAAAGCGAATTGTTGTAATAGTAAAACATGTAATGGTATAGTTGAAGAAAAATGGTTTCTTCTGATTCTTATTTCATATGAAACTTACAGATAAACATACAAGAAAGGCTCAGGACGGTTAGAAAATAGCAAGAAAATAGGAGCAGAGATGGGAATGTATTTCCGACTATAAAATAAATAGAAACAAAATAAATTCCTATTGCGAGATAATTCTTCGACACCCCTCTCAAGTTAGTGCGAAAATGTCTATCGTGCCCGACTTGCTGATGAGAGACTCGAAGTCAGGTCTTGTCATGACCCTCTTTTCTGTCGGGACAGGTTTAGAGGTAATGCCGAGTCGAGGACCAACGGCCCTCGATTAGGTGCGGGCTCTCTCAAACCCATATCTCGCGCAAGTTGGATTCATGTTTGATTTGCCTAATTAACTTTGCCGAGGTGCACAGAATACGAGGAACTATCGAAGCGAACCCGGGCACTTAAGGATGTTACCAGAAGTCGGCAATATACACATCAACGACTCTTGTCCGTTGTTCTCCTCGCCGATAACCGCCGCAAAACCACCATCGCATTGAGCACAGCAGCAACCTTGAAACATATAAAAAGAAGATGACGTGTCACTCGAGGGCAACAGGTAAAATTCCAGAAGATCATATTCGACGACTAATGAATCAATCAGTAGCATGCAAACAACACTGAACTGACCTCAGATTGGATAAAAAATAGACATTATCTCACATATATTTCTTTGAGACATTTCGTCAAACGCCTGATGAGCATATCGAGTGACGGTTCTATATGCAACATTATAGTGATATATCGATCCAACAACATCTCATCAACAAAGATTCAGGCCAAATCTTTGAAAAAAAGCTTCAACATCAGTCACATTTCATGCAAACATTACCATGACGTTAGTTTTTGTTTTGAATCATGGATGAACCGAGACAACAAATTTCTGGATCTCACCTTGTCGTGAAGCAAATTGGGAGACAATAAAAAATTATTCAGAGTATTCGCATCAGGAACATACAAACAGAGAACATACGCACCGCAAACATGATTCGCAATTCAACATATTGATATGAGCACTTACACGGGGAATATGTCATCGATTCTCAAGCAAAGTTCATATAATTCTTCATATCGGTCTACGCCTAATGAACGCGCTAGTGACAATTAACAAGTGCTTACAACTCAGCACATCAACCACTTCAGATAATTTCATAGAAACGAGTTTATCACTAATGACTATCAGACGCGTATCAAAACCGAGATCTTCGGAAACAAACTCTAAAGTGAAAATCTACTGCATTTACCTAACCTATACAGCTAGTGCAGTGAACCATTCAAGCAGACGAGATGATCTCGGCCAAATTCGAAGCTATATTCACACTGATGCGTTTCAGACATTTCATCAAACAGGTAATAGGCATCCCAACCAACGATCTGATATGCAGCATTGAGGTAGTGTTTCGATCTAAGTCATCACGTCAGCGATAATGTGAACATCAAATCGTCCATTCGGCTTCATTCGTGACAGTTTTTTAACTCACGCGCAGTTTGAGGTCTCTGCCTCTGTGCCACGACAAAGCTGTATATCTTGCTACGGCCGGCAAGCAAATCAAAGAACAGAAAATCTTGGGTGCGTCGGCAATGATGGCCGTCGCCGGTGAAGACGAATCGAGCGGTGATCAATTTCTCCGAAGCCTCGGATCAGAAATACAGGATATAACAGAGGATTCACTGCGCCTCTTGGGAACGACGAACGAGCGGCGACCTCAACGGCGATTATCAACGGCCCGAAATCAACGAGGGAAGTCGAGAAAACAAGCAAACTCCTCTGTCCGAGAGCGAGTCTCTGAATTTCGTTCCCGTCTCCCTCGGTCGTGCGCGGCCGCAGAAGATGACCTCCTCCCGTTTCTCCCGAGGGAGAGAGCACCTGAAGTCCACGGCGGCCGGAGGTAGCAGAGAACTCGAGCAGGCGGAGGATGACCTCCGGCGAACCTCGAATCGGCGGACTTCCGGCGACGGAGATCGCCGGAGATTTGAAGTCTGAACTGTATTCGCGGGCGTTCGTGTTCCCAATTAATGGAGCGCTCCGTGGAAAAAATGGCTCCGTTCACTCTTCAACGGGATGGGTTTGTCAGATTGGACCGCCCAAGATGGGCTTTACACGCTGGCCTCGAAAAACTCAAAACTAATATAGTTGTGACATAATTCTTTCTCCGTTAGTTTAGTTAAATTTTACAATCAATTCTTGAGTTAAATGACACGTGACGGTTAACAACTATATTGGTTTGGGGTTTTACCCTCTGTTTGTCGGGTTTACCAATTTGTGATTTTTCGTAGTATTAATACAATTTAACGGAGAGTAAATCCGTCCATGTCTTAGGTTTGGGATTTTTGGTGATCAAAAAATTATTTTGGGGTAGATTTGGGGAAAAGTGCCAAAAAAGTCCTAAACATTTTGCATTTGTGCCAATTTAGTCCTGAACCTTTTTTTTGTGTCAATTTAGTCCTAAACTTTTTTTTGGTGCTAATTCAGTCCTAAACCTTTTGTATTTGTGTCAATTCTGTCCTAAATCTTTTTGTCTTTGTGCAAATTCTGTCCTTCCGAACAATTTTGGCCGAATTTTGATGACGTGGACGCAGGCTGGCCGGCGGCTAATCACCGGCGCTGACGTGGATAAAATTTAATAAAATTTTATTATTTTTTAAAATTTTATTTTTTTATTTATTTATTCTTTTTTCTTGTTTTCCCTCCCCCCTCCTTCCTCCGGTCGCCAGCGGCGACTGGCTGGAGGAAGGAGGGAGGGAAAAAAAAAGAATAAAAGAATAAATAAAAATTCAAAAAAATATTAAAAATATTATTAAAAATTATCCACGTCAGCGTCGGTGACCGGCTAGCGTACATGTTAGCAAAATCTGACCAAAATTGACCGGAAGGACTGAATTGGCACAAAGACAAAAAGATTTAAGACTGAATTGATACCAATACAAAATGTTTAGGACTGAATTGACACCAAAAAAAGGTTTAGGACTAAATTGGCACAAAAAAAAGGTTCAAGACTAAATTGGCATAAAAAAAAAAGTTTAGGACTAAATTGGCACCAATACAAAAGTTTTAAGATTTTTTTGGCACTTTTCCCAGTAAATTTGTTATGGATGTATCAATTTGAGGTTTTTCGAAGTCAAAAAATTAATTCGAGATAAATTTATCACATATGTACTAGTTTGGAGTTTCTCGTAATATTAACCCTAATAAATATCCGCCCACTTAACCAACCAGGCAAGTCTCATCTCCACCCGAGATTTGTAGCCCCACGAAATTTTTGACGTAATGATTCCTACTTCCTATACGTAGCATCACACGTTAGACCTTGCCCCAACTCTATCTTTCCATTCAGCGAATCGAAACACAATGAATTAGGTAAACTCTCTTAGGAAGCAAGCGAAGCTGACGATCCCATGGCCGCGCGTTGTTAAGTTATAGCAAATATCGAGCAACATCCAACGGCTCCATTCCTTCTGGTTTGCACTAAATAAAAATGCCTTACCGATCGGGTCTTTCTCGGGTCGGTCTACTTGAAGAATTTGAGCCTCGAGAGGTCTTGAGCCCGATTCTGAAAAACCAAGAAACTCCCCTCGTATTCTAGAGGCAAAAAAAATCGTACAAAGTCGTGGGCACCGCACAACCCCCACCCCGGTGCAAGCGTGTATGAAATCAGGCGCTCGCCCCGACCCCAGTCGCCGCTCAAACTGAGCACCGTGTCGGTTGGCCCAATAGCTACGTCGATCTTTCGCTATAACTTTTAGATTTGTCTGTAAATTGTCCAAAACGGCGGTGGTACACTCAAGATCGAAATATTCGAGGAATCGAATGTCTCTAGTTTTTAGTCGAAGGATCAATGTTCGATCCGATTCGCCGAATTGGCTCTCCAAAATAACTAGAATACATCACCATGTCCAACCCTAGAACAGTGTGGACTAGGAAAGGAATCCTAGAAAAAAAACATCAACAGTCGGATTCGTCTGCGACCGATGCAGATGGATGAAAATCTTGTCGCCATGTTAGTATTGTTATCAGCATCCCATTGGCCACGAGAGAAACAACAAAAATGTCCTAGAAAAGTCGCTGTTCATCGACGTTGACTTTTCATTCATGGCGAGCACGGCGAATGTGATCCCGTTTCTCCAATTCGCAAAGCTAACACCACTTGGAAACAACTTCCAATTCGTTTCATGTGCCCGTTTGCCGCGGGGTTTAAGCAAGGGTGTTCCTCGGATCTGGTTTCGATCGTAGGGTCGGACCGAAAAAAGACGTGGATCCAGACCGGTTTTCGGGTCGAGGGAGAACCGTTTCCCGGTTCGGAGAACCAAAACCACTGATTCTACCTAGGAACCGGTTTAACTCGAAACCATGTCTTGAATACAAAGAAATAAACAACACTATTACTTCACCAACATATGTTTTTGTAATGAAATGGCATGACCTTTATATTTTACTATAGTAATTTGACTTTTTGCACCAAATAAAAAATAGGGCCGGTTAGGGAGGAATAGGGTAATCAAGAACAGATCCATCCAAAAACCGATCACTTTTAGATTTAAGAGCTAGACAAGAAGGCAATATACTGAATATTCGATGGAAAGAAAACTTCATTGACATGTAAAAAAAGTCAATATTCGGAATTGATAAGGAATTCATGCGATAAACTCTCTCCGGATCGAAACTTGATCCGATAAAAACATATAGGCCCATGCAAACACACAATCTTCTTCTTGATTTGCATCTCTATTGCAGATCATCTTCCTTGGAGGTGCTGTTGTTGCAGGCGCACACTGATTGCAATTTGAGTCATTTCCGATCCATAATCATTAAGCCAAATTACGTGATTTGCAACTTTTTACGAACACCCATGAACGAAGATTCCAATAGTTACCTTGTAGTAACTGGAAAAATATCTTTCTTTGGAAACCCTGCAGTGCAGTTCGACAAGTCATCCTCTCATGCATGCATACACGAGACACAACCTCTGCATGTTTCAGTCCATTTTCTTGTCACGTAATGCTGTCCTTGCGCACGAGGTCGATGACAGCTCCTCTTCGGTACGAAAGCGAAAGACAGCAGCATAGAAAACATCAAAGTTTCCCGCCCTTCGCTCCACTGTTCCTTTCGCCCTGCCTTGTCGTCTTTCAAAAAGACTTTGTATTCTTTCCACGAATGATCGCCGCTCTGTTCTTGGCAAATCTAACATCCGCTCTGCACGAAACCGGAAAAGAGAGAGAGAGAGAGAGAGAGAGAGAGAGAGAGCAAGCGACCCAACTGCATTAATCTCTTACGACTTTTGTTGTCTTTTGTTTTCTCGAAATGGGTAGGGCGGTGAGGTGGCTCAAGGGCTTGTTCGGGATCAAGAAGGATAAAGAGGTCAAGGACCCCGCCGCCGACGGCCGCCGCGGGCACCAAGAACGCCGCCGCGCCGGGGGCCTGTGCAACAACCCTGCCACGATCCCGCCGAACATATCCGCGGCGGAGGCCGCCTGGCTGAGGTCGTTCTTCGCGGAGGGGTGCGAGGAGGAGCGGAGCAAGCACGCGATCGCGGTGGCCGCTGCCACCGCTGCGGCTGCGGACGCGGCGGTGGCGGCGGGCTCAGGCGGCGGCCGCCGTCGTGAGGCTCACGAGCCGCGGCAGGGGCACCGCCCTCGGCTGCGGGGGCGGGGGCGGCCACGAGAGGTGGGCCGTGGTGAAGATTCAGGCTAATTTCAGGGGTTACTTGGTGAGCAGGATGAAGATTCGCCCTTCTTCTTTGTTTTGTGCTGTATTTTGATTTGCTTTTGGACGCGAAACAGGCAAGAAAAGCACTGAAAGCGCTGCGAGGGCTGGTGAAGCTGCAGGCGGTGGTGAGGGGCTATCTGGTGAGGAGGCAAGCCACTGCTGCATTCCACTGCATGCAATCTCTCTTCCGAGCTCAAGCCACCGTCCGGTCCCGCCGGGGTCGCGCTCCTCTCACCGTCCCCCCCGAAGTTTGCGCAGCTGCGGAGTCCCGGCCGCGCAAATCCACGGTAACAACTAAGCCATCGGTCGAAACACACATTTGGCATCTGCCCCTTTTCGATTCTTTATGAGCGTCGTAATCTACCGTGCTGCGAAAGCCGACTCGCGGGTCGAATGACGCCGATAAGCGGGATTGTTCCTATCTGTTTGATAAGAGAAATTTCGCTGTTCTAAGGGCTGGGTGCTGTGCAAAGAGCAATATCAATCAGCAAACATTCCGTTGAATATAGCAGATGAAAGTCACGTTTTGTTGCACTAGAAGTCACTTGTTCCTTGGTCTTTGCTCTTGGCCATGACAAACCTGTTTCCTTCTTTTCTCAACTTTTTTCAGGGGAGATCGGATGAGGCAGGAAGCGAATACACAGCATCGCTTCATAGCATGAGGCTCTCGTCGTCCCTTGACGCTGCAACAGTAATCGCAACCTCCGAAGGAAGCCCAAAGATTGTGGAAGTTGACAATGGTGGGCGCCATTCAAGGCCCATAAGGCCCCACCCTTCCTCTGATGCGGATCTCTATGCTGAGCCCCAACCTCCTCCTCCTCCTCCCCACCCCACGTTCTCCTCTCCACTCCCGCTCCGGGCCCCGCCCCGCCTGTCGATCCCCGAGCTCCGGAACCTCCCCGACCCCGAGTGGGCCCTGAGCGGCGACGAGTGCCGGTTCTCCACCACGGCGCACAGCACGCCCCGGCTCGCGAGCTCTCGCCGGTGCGGGCCCAGCGGGCCCGCCACCCCGTCCAACAGGAGCTCATGCGGAGATGACAACTCCTCCTGGGGGCAAACAGGCGGGAGGTCCCCGAATTACATGGCGAGCACGGAGTCGTCGGCGGCGAAGCTGAGGTCGCAGAGCGCCCCGAAGCAGAGGCCGGAGCCGGGGTCCAAGAGGCGGCTCTCGCTCTACGAGGCGATGGGCTCGAGGAGCAGCTTGAGCGGGGTTAGGATGCAGAGGGCTTGCTCAAGAGCCCAGGAGGTGATCAACTTCAAGAATGCCATACTGGGAAAGCTTGAGAGGCCCAGTGAGTTTGGCAAAGAGGTGGACAAGAGGATGTGGTGA